AATGATCCGGCAGTTGAACACAATAAACCTATCCATAGCAGGCAGGTTTAGACCTATCAATAGAGGGCAGATTCAGTATGCCTGATTACCAGGAACTCAACGGTTGCCACTTTCTTCTTTTGGTAAGCAGTAGAGTATAGAGTGAAAATGGTATGTTGGAGAAATACAGCTTGAGCGTTGCTTTGTACTGCGTTCAGCACAAAATAAAACACCGACCATCTGGGTTGTATGTACCACAGAGGCTAAGTTAAGCTTCTAGAAATACTTACAGCGCATAATTGTAATGCTGATTTATGCTATCATTGTACTTTAGTATCTTCTGACGATGTTGTGGGAGGTGACACCTTGGTGTGCTTTTCAACCCAAAGGTTTTTAACGCGTTTCCGGGGCACGCCTAATGTTCTGATGAAGGGGGCGTGCCCCGGAAACGCATTAACGTCACCACTATACTGGTATCACCTAGTGGACATCTCACTGCTTGTCAGTCCTCACCTCATGACTTTGTGACACTCATGTTTGTGAGTATGATTCGGTTTTCTATTTATGTTTATTGAAATAAAAGTGATCTGCACCAGGAAAGGCGCCCCTCTTTGTGCTTATTATATTAGAGTTATGTAAATACATGTAGGGGGCTTTCAATAGTGAGTGATGAAGGGTTCTTCTGATGTTATTATTATTATTAGGGATGCACCGATACACCGATACCAATACTAGCATCGGTATCAGTGCCGAGTATTTGGGCGAGTACTCGCCGTCGCCCAAATGCTCCGATGCCTAGCCTGATACTTCCAGTATCAGGAAGCCGGACAGGGAGTCATTACACGCTACCCGGCTTCCTGCTTCCAAGCCGGGCATGAGAAACATGGGGACGGCTTCTCTGCTTATCGGGATGGTGGGTAGCGAGTCATTACACGCCGCCTGGCTTCCTGAATGGGACTTCTGGTATCGGTATTCTATATCTGCAAGTACCGAGAAAAAATATATCGGTACTCGTACTTGATACCGAAATACCGGTATCCGTGCATCCCTAATTATTATACAGGATTTATATAGCCCCCCCCCCCCCCCGCGCAAGCTTATATGCAATTTATTGGCCATAAAAGGTGTATTGGGATTCGGGTACTGCCCTGGGGGACATGTATCAATGCAAAAAAAACTTTTTAAAAATACCGCTTTTAAAGGAGCAGTGATTTTAACATTGCTTAAAGGGTAACAATAAAATGAAAAATTCCTTTAAATATCATGCCTGGAGGGTCCCCTTAAACTGTCTGTAAAGTGGCACATATGTACAATGTATAGAACCTGCTGCAGGAAAACTGACATTTCTAAAGAAAAAAATTACATTTAAAAAGAAAAAAAAAAAGCGTGCGGTTCCCCCTCCCAAACAATACTCTTTAGGTCTGGTAGGAATGTTAGGAGGGACCCGTTTAAAAAAAAAAACCTGTGGGGTTCCCCTCAAAAGTCATACAAGACTCATAAACTCTGGTAGGAATTTGTCCTGCAAGACATATAGCATATGCAGCCACAGGTGCCATCTATAACCCAAATATCACTGGACTGGGCTTTTAAGGTGAAATTGTGATGACAGCCATATGGGACTGCTTTTGCTGGCTTGTTTTTAAAAGGTGCAGGTACCAGGGCTTTCATCCTAATTCATTCTAAGTCATTGACATGGATCAGGCATGAAGGACATGAGTTGAGATTTCTTTAGACAGCATTGGCTTTATGCTTGTTCCTGGTCAGTGACTCGCTAGGAATTAATGCCAGGATAAGTACACCAGCCATGGAGCCTTCTCCTTTTAAAAACAAGTCAGCACTGGCGGCTTTCTTATTTTGCTTCTCACTGGGTTTTCTTTACAGGATGCATAATAAAGATAAAACCTTATTCGACATCTGTGACAATAGTTTTATTCATATCTATAGATAACTCCTTGGGTACCAGATCCACCATCTAGAAAGCAGCATAGTTACAACAATCAGAAGTGTACTCATTTTAGGCATCTTAGCATTAAGTGATTAACCTGTTAGGTTCCCAGTTGGAATCCCCTATTGAGCAGTGAATTAGTTAAGATCTCAAAACAGTTCTACAAAATAGGTATTGAAACCCTTTCATGCTGAAGCTCTGCAGCTTGGAGTGGTACACTTTCCTTTGTCCTCCCGTGAATACCTCAACAATAGCCCATTGCCTCGGTTTATTTGGGCCAAAAAAATGCTCATTATCAAAGCCATGAGTTTCTATCTACTCTATGCTGATGGGAATATCCTCCCTCTATAGAGATGGAAAGCTGAAGATTGTATATTCCACGTCTGGTTTGATGGGAAGGTCCTAGAGCGCGAGGAGCCTCAAAGGTCCTAATGTATTGCTTGTCTGGTTTGATAGGAATGTTTTCTGTGGAAAAAGAGTATTCTACCTGATGTGTATTTCACGTCTACCTAGAATAAAACGTCTCTTGGGACAAGTTACCTGGAGGCTCTTTCTCTGGCTTGTTGAAGGCCAGAGGATGGACATTCTGTCCAATGTGTATTCACGTCTAGTTTGATGGGGCAGTGTCTCTGTATGGCCGAATTTAACGAGAACCCTCAGCCAAAATGTTTCTTTTGAAAAGAGTGGAGAAGGCTCAGATCCTCTGTATTATGCTAAAAAAAAAGAACAGAATGCGTCCCGCAGTGGTCTTATGTCACAATTTGTGATGTGATTGGCATCCCGGAGTCCCTTGGTTGTCCCTGGTTTGATCATACACCGCAAGACTTTGTTTATTTCCTATGTTAGTAGTTCTATTATTCTCTAAGTAGAAAGCAGTAAGTCCCTCTGCACTCCTCACAGCGCTCCCGGCCCAAATACCTGTAGTGGTGCTTGCAGTGACAATCACGGATGGTGCCGTGTAACAAACAGTAGAAAGCAGAAATCACCAGCACTCAGGAAATATCTTTGATGCCCATTTAATCGGACCAATCGTCAATTGTTATGTACAAAATAACAATATTTTGTATGTGACAACTGACGATTGGTCCGATTAAATGGACATCAAAGATATTTGCTCAGTGCTGGTGATTTCTGCTTTCTACTATTATTCTTTAATTCTTTGTGAATAACGTTAACACACGAGGAGAAGGCGCTGTCTCCATTTGTTCTTTTTTACATGTACTTCAAGGACATATCCCACTGGCCCTTAGGATGGCAGCTTCTCTAAGTGATGGTCATCTTTGATGATTGCTGAAGGGGGAGTTACCAGGGTTCACTGAGCGCTGGAAAAGCGATATTTGGATGATATATATTGCTGCCCGTGTCCCAACTAGGAAAAATCGCTATGGTTACCATGACAGAAAGTGAAGGAAAATCTGAAATTTGTCAGTTGTCACCAATACAGTTGGTCATGAATGTGAAGTATATTTGGGACCTCCAAAAAATGTAAACTTCAGTGTAACCAATGATGCCTCCCAAGACTTATGCTAACCCTCACATGTGGAACTTCAGATAATTTTGGGGCAATGAAGGGTTAGAAACATGGATAGTTCTTTGGCAGTGCCCCTATTGGGGAGCTTTCTCTTAGTTCCTTATCTAAAGACACAACAGAAAGTAAGTGGAAATCTACCCAAAGTGAGGAAACAACTCACATTTTACAGTTGTCTCTGGAACAGAAATTCTCCATTCAAACATAACTACCAACCTTTTGTTCTGGTGGCAACTCTAAACTTTTAGATTTCACATCACTTTCCGTCCCAGTTTAAACGGGCACCAAGGCAAAAACAAAGGGTGAATCTCCATAGAAGGAACAAATAAACATCTGACTAACCATTGAGGAGCACATGGTCTCAGCTCCTTGAGTCCTCGAGAGGTATATAAAATATAAGATTGTTTAGCTATCCAACAACTACACCAACTGAAATATCATATAAAGCAATATGTCTGTGAAGGTTCTCATTCATCCAGGTCATGGTATATCTGTAAAAAATCAGTCAAGGCAACTGGACTTGCTGCATTTTTCTTGAAGAGTTTCTTGGCCAGTGAAACGTCTTCAAGAAAATACAGCAAGTCCAGTTGCCAGATATCATTTAAAGCAGTTGACTTAAAACTACCTTGATTGTTTCTGCACAATAACTAAATTAATTTCACCATCTCTGTATAGAACCAAACCCTTTTCAGATAAATTTGGGTGGGCTGCTTGGATTAAACATCTGCATTTTAACCTTTCAGCTACCCTCAGCCATCATGCTGCCACTAGAAGACACATTTAGATTGGCCACCTGGGAAAGCAACCCGATCACCTATGGTCACAGCAAGGCAACCTGTTTTTGTACATCTGAATGACATCCTTTGCAGGAATATTTACCAAATATCTGACCCCCTGCCTAATAACTACGGGTTATTATTGTTTTCAATCTAACGTGCCTTGTTAGTTTATAAGCATTGAAAGTAAAATTAGGCCTTTTCTTTTCTATCCTTGTTTTTCTACATAACAATGCCAAATGAACAGTGGCCAATATATAGCCAAGCAAAGGAGCCCCAGACCTGTGCAGGGCAAGCTCATCAATAGGACAAAAAGATCTGCTATGTTTATGAATAGAATGGTTTGTTGACACAGCGGACATACATTAACAATGAATGGAAAATGGGGCTCCAGGTGTAGTATTTGTACTAATAATGCTCCAACCCAAAATATCCAACATTCAAGGCTCTGAGTCAGACGCCCCCTCGTTTATAGCTCCCAACTGTCCCTCATTCCTCTTTTCTACTTAGCTCTCCCTAATTTTTTGGTCTCATTTATAGACCTCCATAACATGTATTATTTCTCTACCAAAAGTGTTATTCTACATTAATAAATTGATGAGCGGGGTGCAGGACCGTCTTTAATATTAATTTGGGCCCTGGGCAAGATTCTGCCCCCACAACACTCCTGCCCCCATCACCCTTCTCAACCCAGACCCTCATATCCACCTACATCACCTACCCACAAAAAGAAACTTAAAAGAAACACACATTAACACATTTAATCTCAGTGGCCCTGGCAGTCATTAGTATAGATCTCAGTGGCCCTGGCAGTCATCAGTATAGATCTCAGTAGCCCTGGCAGTCATCAGTATAGATCTCAGTGGCCCTGGCAGTCATCAGTATAGATCTCAGTGGCCCCAGCAGTCACCAGTATAGATTTCAGTGGCACCGGTTGTCACCAGTATAGAGCTCAGTGGACCCGGCAGCCACCAGCACAGATGTCTATGCCCTCAGCAGGCACCAGTATAGATCTCAGGGTACCCTACAGTCACCAGCATAGATCTCAACGCCCCCAGCAGACACCAGTTGAGATCTCAATGTCCCCAGCAGGCACCAGTAGAGATCTCAATGTCCCCAGCAGGTACCAGTAGAGATTTCAATGTCTCCAGCAGGCACCAGTAGAGACCTCGATGTCCTCAGCAGTCACCAGTAGAGATATAAATGTCTATAGCAGTCACCAGTAGAGATCTCAATGTCTATAACAGTCACCAGTAGAGATTTCAATGTCCCCAGCAGGCACCAGTTAAGATCTCAATGTCCCCAGCAGGCACCAGTTGAGATCTCAATGTCCCCAGCAGGCACCAGTTGAGATCTCAATGTCCCCAGCAGGCACCAGTTGAGATCTCATTGCCCCCAGCAGTCACCAGTAGAGATCTCATTGCCCCCAGCAGTCACCAGTAGAGATCTCAATGTCCCCAGCAGTCACCAGTAGAGATCTCAATGTCCCCAGCAGTCACCAGTAGAGATCTCAATGTCCCCAGCTGGCATCTGCAGAGATCTCAATGTCCCAAGCTGGCAACCGGTTGAGATATCAATGTTCCCAGCAGGCACCAGTAGAGATGGCAATGCCCCCAGCAGTCACCAGTATACCAGGAACCACTGCAACAGGAGAACGGGCTGGCTGATAACAGAGATGACTTCCCCACTGGCCGGGCCGCTCATCTTCTGCCTGCCACTCCGGACTAAAAGGACAGCTGCCTTGGGCCCCTGTAAATTATGGGGCCCAGGGGAGATGCCCCTTTTGTCCTGCGGTAAAGATGACTCTGGCGGGGTGTTAAACACCCTTCCTGTCCAGGTAATTTTTCAGTATTCAGAGCTGAGGTACTTTGACTGGCATTTATTCAATCATGCAACACTATACTGAAATAAATTTTATACAATTTTTGGGGACACATAGAGCTTTCTTTTCGGGGGTATTTAATCACCACTGGGGGTTTTTGTTTTTTTTACCAAATAAAGAAAAAAGTATCAAATATGTTGAGGGAAAAAAACCCTTTTTCCCTATGTTATGTTATAAAAAAAATAATTATTACCCAATTTTTTTGGGAAAATATAAAAGACGGGGTCACGTCGAGTAAAAACCAACACACCAAATATGTCAAGCCTTAAAATAGTGTGCACCCACGAAATCCCAAAAAACTACCCAACCCAAAATTGGCCATAGCCAACACTTTAAAAGCATTTTACCACTCATCACTTTAGTGTTAACAATGATTGATGTCCCTAGAATTATTGCTCGCACTCTGGCGTTCATGGTAATATGTAACATGTGCGGCACAATCATTGTTTTTGCACGTAGATGCACCCAATGCGTATTTGAGTTTGTATGTGTGTGTGTGTGTGTGTATCTCCATGTGCGCATGCTTGGGATTTACCTGCGCTTGATCAAGGGGCTGGCTGTGAAAGTCAGCTCATGATCCAAGATGGAGGAGCAGAAGAACAGAAACATTGGACACAAGAAAGACATCACCGTATTCCATGGACTAGTAAGTATGTACAGCTAGCCAGATCTCTATGTGCGCATGCTTAGGATCTACCTGCGCTTAATCAAGGGGTCGGCTGTTAAAGTCACCTCCTGATGAAAGATGGTGGAGCAGAAGGACTTAAGCATTGGCTATGAGGAAGACATCACCGGACTTCCTGGACTAGTAAGTATGTATAGCTAGCTAGATATCCATGCGCACATGCTTAGGATCTACCTGCGCTTGATAAGGGGCTGGCTGTGACAGTCAGCTCCTGATCTAAGATAGTGGAGCAGAAGAACGGAAGTTTTGGCTACGAGGAAGACATTGCCAGACTCCATTGACTAGTAATTATATAGCTAGCTATATCTCAATGTGTGCATGCTTGGGATCTACCAGTGCTTAATCAAGGGGCTGGCTGTGTAGGTCAGCTCCTGATCTAAGATGGTGGAGCAGAAGAACGGAAGTTTTGGCTACGAGGAAGACATTGCCAGACTCCATTGACTAGTAATTATATAGCTAGCTATATCTCCATGTGCACATGCTTGGGATCTACCTGCGCTTAATCAAGGGGCTGGCTGTGAAAGTCAGATCATTATCCAAGATGGTGGAGCAGAAGAACAGAACCATTGGCTACAAGGAAGACATCGCCGGACTCCATGGCCTAATAAGTATGTATTTTCTAATTTTAATATATAAACATTTTTTGTAGCGGCTGCATTAGTAGGTGGAAGGTCCTCTTTTAAATAGACGGGTTGAGCAGGCATCAGAAGGTCCATATACAGTGTTTAAATTCCTTGTGGCCTTCAGCTTGTGTGGTCCCTGTTTGGATGACATCAGAGCAATGTTAAAGCTTCAGCTTTGATGGACGGTTGTTACCTGCTAATGTAAAGCTACTTCTTCAATGGAGTCGCCAAAGACCAAGATGCCTGGTTCTGTTTGAAGGCCCCATTGCTTATTTGTTCTAAGGGAGGTTGTCATGGAAATCGGCCTTTGTTTTCTAACTTGTCCTCTTCCTTCCTGGACCCATCTGCTCCCCAGGTCATTTTCCTGGCCCATTGTCCTCCTTTGCCTCAACCCTCTTTAAGTTAGTCACTTTTATGGTGCACCTGACCCGCACTTCCAATCAGCTCGGCCTCTTTCAATGGCTGCTTCGGCTTAATAAGAGCAATTAACCATTTTATGATGTCACAAAATAAAGATTACCGTGTTTATTGAGTCAGTTCGCTGCTTCCCCGCAGAGAAAACACCTGCTTGGAGGACCACGTGGTGCAGCCGCTGAGTTATTGGGGAAAGTGAGAGTTTGCCTTGTAAATTCCAACGCAACCTGGGATCCTGGCATTAGGTTTCAGCTCAGAAAATGCAAAATAGAAACAGGGTGGTTTTTGTTTTTGCAAGATTCGCTGGCTCTCGTTGTTGAAATTAAAAAGTATTCTTCCTTCTTTTTTTTTGTTTTTGTTTTTTTGGAAGCGGGTTTTCACCACTAATGGATGTGTTTAACGTAAAAGTCAAACATTTCAGTAAAAAAAAAAAAAAAGAAATCCACTAAATGTTTGAAAATGTTCCCTACCTGCTCATACGTTTTATTAGTAATACATTTTATCTGTCTTTAATTTGTAATAAACTGGTTCCAATCGCTGCTCATTCTAGAGCGCCATTTCCCCACTTTCCCACATTCTGTTTGTTACACAGACATAGAAACATAGAAGTGTGACTGCAGAAGAAGACCCATCAAGTCTGACCATTTTTTAAATTTTTTTAAATTTTTTTGTATTTGTTTTTTTAATTTGTTTTTGTTTGTTTTTTTGTTTAAAGGAGAACTATGGGGTCAGTGTTTTTCCCCATAGTTCTCCTTAGGGTGACGGGAGGACACAAACTAGCGTCCTCCCGTTACCCTAAGCTCAGTATACCGCGAGCTACAGCTCGCCTTAGACGTTGGGATCCGCCTAGCTGCGTGAGTGACAGCTGGCTCTGCCTATCTAGAGGCAGAGCCAGCTGTACCCGCCCCCTTCCCCGTCCGTTCCACCAGTCAGCGCTGGCAGATCGGAGAGGGGAATCCAGCCCCTCCCCCTGTCACGGCAGAGAGCCGTGACAGGATCGAGAGGTGAGCGAACCCGGTATGTGTTCGCTCACCTCCCGATCTACTGAGCCGACCTGTGACAGTCTCATTGTCACAGGTCGGCTAGAACTATGAGGTGAGTGAAAACCACTCACCTCATACTTCTCCTTTAAAGAACTCCAGTTATTTTAAAAAAAATAACCCTTGCAGTGGAGCTACCACCGCACTACAGGGAGTAACTGCTTGTTGTGGTCTAGGGGTCGGAATACAGAAGATATACTCACCTGATCCTCTGCTAGCAGTGGCGTAACAATCGCCATAGCCACCCAGGCGGCCGTTATGGGGCCCGGGGCACAGTGGGGCCCGGCCACATGGCGAGCGGACCGCCTGGGTCGCTATGGCATCCTCTGCTGGTGGCTCTCACTGGCGGCTCTGAAGAAGAATGCGCTGCTGTTAGGATCACTGACCGTAATCTGTGCAGCGGCGCGTTAGTCTCCAGAGCCGCTGCTGAGTCGATGAGAGCCGGCAGCGGCGGTGGAAGAGGCCGGACCCGTCAGTGGAGGAGGAGGCGGGGCCGTGGTCGACAGCAGGGGAGGAGGCGGGACCCGGTGACAGAGAAGGAGGCGGGCCCGGCGACGGAGGAGGAGGCGGGCCCATCAGCGAGCATGGAGGAAGAGGAGGCGGACAGGTAAGGAGTGCGACCAGCCTACCTGAGGGTGACCCTTCAGAGCCCACCATAGAGAGTATATGGTGGGCTCTGCAGGGTCACTCTCAGGTGGTCTGTGTGGGATCTCAAGTGGGCTCTGCAAGGGGTATAACTAGAAATCATATGGCCCCATACAACATTTTGCTATGGGGCCCTGTGATTTCTAGTTATGCCCCTGTCTGTTAGGGTTCCGATTTTAGAGTTCCCCGGGATTCGATCGTGCTGCCAACTTCAGCCAAGTACTTGGGAATAAAGAGTCACACCAAGTTGTGTATTCACTCTACATTCAAAGCTTTATTGTAAAACATGGAATATAGATATAAAACAGAGAAATAGATGGCGGAGCATAAACCAATAAAAATCCTGCACGTGTATATAAATGAATAAATGCTACTATGGGTGATAGATCGGTCACACAGGTGGCCCCTACTTATGAGATAAGAAGACACAGTTTTATTGATACAAGAATACAGCTGCGAACAAGTGAAAGCGGTTCAAGGCCAGTTTATTCAGAACCTTCTACAAAGCACACTTTTACTTGTTCAAAATATTAACTATATACTAAGAATAATAGAATTCGATTATTTCTATCAATCCTCAGTCCTGTGGTGGTGAGTGCTCACTTCTATAGCCCTCCACTCCAGTTGCGGTATGTCCCCTAGCGCCCTCACGTCTAAAGGTGCTCAAACACCTGCCGATTATCGTACGATAATCGGCAGGTGTATGGAAGGCGTGCGACCGTTTCTACTGTACGGTCGCACGTACGTACCATCTGCCTGTTCAAGATGGGCAGATCGTACGAGATTTTAATGACCTTACAGCCCTCGCAGGATGAAAGTCGTGCGATGGTTGTAAGGTGTATGGGCAGCTTGATGCAGGTGAGCGGGGGTTAGACTGCCGGAGCCCAGAGAAGAAGAAGCTATGGGGACTGGTCTATCAGCCAGGTGGGACTGAGGATGAGGTGAGCATATTTTCTTTATTTTTAAAAATGAGCACTTAACCCTTGCAGCGCGGGGGTAGCCCCAATGCAAGGGTTATTTGTTTTTAGATTCCTGGAGTTCCTCCTTAAATATGTTTCTTTCAACATTTTTGCCATGAGTATAGATGTTTGTAAGTAGGCTGTTCCTGCAGTGGGTCACCTCCTTCCATGAAGCCAACCCCAGAAAGTCCGCGCCCACCACACGGAGAAGAAGGGTTAGCGGTCACATGACCATAGATAAAGGTATTTACATT